GTGGGGGCATATCGTGAATCCATCATCCCTGACTCTTCTTTTTTAAAAAAGAAAAAAAAATGGCGGTTGAGTGGGTATGGGGCGACGTTTCTCTCAAAGACTGCTTCGAGCTGAATAGTGGGTATCGGTTGGCTCTTGGGGGAAATGGGGAGGGTAGCTTGTGAAGTCCTGGGATGATGGTGGGGGGTCCTGGAATGACGTTCTGCCGTCCCCTTGTTCTGCAGCTGTCCATCCTTCGTGCTGTGGCTGGGAACCTTCTGATAAGATACTGTTGACATAGAAAAAGCTTAGAGAAAAAAATCATTATTATTTTATTTTTGGAGTTGGCATTTATCTGAGGTAGATCTGGCCTGCCTAGATGGAGACATGTGACATTTATCTGAGGTAGATATGGCCTTAGTACTCTGCTTAATTTTTACCTGAGACAAGCCTTATTAGAGGTAGTTTATTTAAGGCACCTGTTTCCTTTATTAGTTTAGCATTTAGGAAACGCAGGTGATCAGTTACTGAAGATTGAACAATGATAGATTGTTGTATTATATTTTTCCTTACCACCTGGATATTTCTGATGGTCCTTTTTGCCTCTGGTTCTGTGTGGCCCTATTTGGGAAAGGAAGGGGTGATACCTTGTTCCTCTGGAATTGGTGACAAGGCAGTGGATCCTGGTCCTCTGGAGCCTGAGAGTACAAGGCCCTGTTTGTTTTACTGTATATGAAGAGAGATTTTTCTGGGATGGAGGTGAGATAAAAGGTTTTAGATGAGACAGGTGGACCCAGTGAGGAAAGTCCTCGAGTTTAGCAGCTGTAGGAGTCACAAGAATTACCTTGAAGGGTCTCTGCCACTTAGGGGAAAGGGGTGGAGGGCGCTGGCCTGGAGGAAAGAGAAGAACCTGATCCTTGATGTGGATTGGAGGTGGGCAAGAATTGTCACATGGCTGAGGTAAGGAATGGTCTGTAAAGCTCCATAGGATAGACCTTAGGTGACATAAAAGGGGAGTTAACGGGCTATCTGTAACAGTAGGAGGGTTGGATAAAAGACCTGGTGTTAGAACTGGCCTTCCATACATTAGTTCAAATGGAGAGATTGAAAGAGGCTTTTTAGGAAGAGCCCTGAGCCTGAGAAGAGCTAGAGGCAATAATCTTACCCAGTCTAGATGAAGTTCCTGTGACATCTTAGTAAGAATAGTTTTTAAGACCGGTTGGTACGCTCCACCTTTCCTGAGGACTGAGGATGGTATGGGATATGAAAATGCCAAGGAATGTTAAGAGTCTTAGCTACTGTCTGAGAAATCTGAGAGGTGAACTCTGGGCCATTGTCAGACTAAAGAGAAGCAGGAACCCCAAACCAAGGAATAATTTCTTGGAGAAGGAGGTCTGCAACTGTCTGAGCCCGCTTATTAGAAACCAGATATGCCTCCACCCAATTTGAAAATGAGTCTACCATCACAAGGAGATATTTAACTTTCCTGACGGTCGGCAGGGTAAAATTGAGCTGCCAGTCCATTCCTGGAAGGGAACCTCTAGCCTGGTGGGTGGGTAAAGGCTGACTTCTGTACTTGGTATTGGGATCTGTTTTTTGGCAGATCTCACAAGAGGCAGTAATAGTTCTTAAGAACTGTAAGTCCTCAGAGGTGGGCTGCAGGTGAGCTTTTACGAATTAAGACAGAGCAAGATTATTAGGGTGAAAAAGCTGGTGTAGCTAGGAAAGAATTTGCCTAGTGTCAGGGGTTCCCTGTGAGAGTGTAAGCTGCACTGTATGGATTCCCTGTGGTGGGTGAGGTGAGACTTGGCCCTGGAGGGCCGCTGTCCTGGCTGCCTGGTCAGCCTGGTTGTTTGCCCTAGAGATGGTGGAGCTATTGATCTGATGAGACTGGCGGTGGACAATTCCTATAGCCTTGGGGAGGTGAGAAGCCTCCAGCATGGCCATTATTTGGCCTGAGTTAGATATGGATCCCCCTTTTGCTGTGAGAAGGCCACACTCCCTCCAAATAGCAGCGTGGGACAGGAGGATATGAAAAGCATATTTGGAATCTGTGTAAACATTTAGAGATTGTCCCTGTGCCAATTGGAAGGCACGGGTAAGAGCTATCAGCTCAGCCTATTGGTTAGTGGTTTGTGTGGGTAATGCCTGTGCTTCTATCACCTCAGTATCTGACACTTTTGGCAACATTTTGGACAAGGCCTTTTTGGTGCTCTTCGTGGGGCGGTGGTGCAAGCCTGGGCCCAATGGCCTTCTTTCCCGCACTTGAAACAGGGACCAGACAGCTTTTGGGGAGCCGGTTCGATGGTGTTTGCCAGCATCTGGCAGCTCCTTTTTTGGGCCTTCTCATCTCTCCCATGGTACACCTGAAATGCTATCGCCAGCACATCTGCCTGTGGGGTCAGAGGGCCGTTCTGCAAACGTTTAAGTTTATCTCTAATGTCAGGGAAGCTCTGTGAGACAAAGTGGGTCATTAGGAGCTGCCTGCCCTCAGGGCTCTCCGTGTCTAAGCTAGTGAACTAAAGTAGAGCCTTGGTGAGACGCTCTAAGAAGTGAGACGTATTTTCATCCTTATCCTGAATTACCATTTTTAGTTTTTCATAGTTTACTGGTTTTAGGGCAGCCTTATGGAGGCCTGTCAGGAGACAGGTAATAAACCTGTCTCTGGCTAGACAGCCACCCTGGGTGTTACAGTCCCAGTGTGGTTCTTGGTCAGGAACCACTTCAGCTCCTGGGGTGTGTGAAAGGTTAGTCTGGTAAACCTCGTCTGCATGGGTCCTAGCCTGTTCCCACAATCACCTGCACTCCTCAGGAAGTAAATTATTAGAAAGTATCATGTATATATCATGAAAGGTGAGACTATAAGATTGAGTTATATATTGAAACCGTTTAATAAAGGAAGCAGAATTAGAAGTATAAGAACCCAGCTTAAATTCTATCTGAGAGAGTTCTGCGAGAAAGAATGGAACATGAACCTTAATCAGTCCATCCACACCAGCCACCGCTCACAAAGGGAGAACAGTGGAAGGGTTTGGATGGCTGGAATCAGGCAATTTAGCAGTTCGAGAATGGGTGGTAGGAGGAGCGAAGGTCGGAGCCAGGGCAGGGCCTTTGGAAACGGCCGCTGCCGAAGGAGAAGCAGCTGTTGCCGAAGGAAGATCCGCTTTAGAGGGAGAAGAATCTGGAAGAGGGGCTGAAGGAACAGTCGCCCTAGGAGCAGAGGTAGGAGCCGGAGGTCAGATAGGTGGAGGTTCGTTAGCAGGATCTAGAGTCAGAGATTTCGAAGTCAGAGAATCCTCCAGTTTAGGCATAGCTAGGAGCATATGAGCAGGAGAGAAGGAATCTAGAAGAGACGGTTTAGCACTCAGAAAGAAGAAAGCAACTCTTTACATTTGCCTGCTCACTGACAGAAATTAGAAAACTCCCGTAAAATATCGGGATCTAAGGAGCCATTCGGCGGCCATTTTTGTTATTTTTTTAAAGCATATTTGAGCCATTTCTTAGTACAGAGATGGATCAGCTTAGGAATCTTTATGTAAGGCATTAAGCTGAGAGGTTTTAAAGCTTCGAGAAGACAGCCTAAGGAAGAGGAAGGACGAATAGGGTTGGAAGCCTTGTTTCCCATGTCTGCAGCAGAGAGGAAGAAAAATGAAAAAATAAATAAAAAAACCAAATGTGATCTGGAGTCAAGGCCCCAGGCATCCCCAAGGCCAAGGACGGATACTGGGCACAGGCCGCTCATTGGCTTGTCAGCCGAGAAGCAGGGGCCCCGCTGCATGAGGCAAGGATTCCCCAGGAATTGGGACAGCATCTACCGCTTCGTCAAGCCAGAAGAACGTGTCGCCCTCACACAGCCTCCAGGACGCACCCAATGGCAGTGGTCCAACCACAAGGAATATCTCAGGCTGCAGATGTGGGGGATGGCTAGAAATTTAGGCCTGTGATAGGGGCTGACCATAGCCAATAATGACCGTGGCCAGGGGTTCCCCTGGTTTCAAGAATACTTAGTGAGGCGCTGGATGCTCAATGGTCATAATTACAGATTCAGGAAACCTTTTATGCCGAAAAGTGGGGGACTCACCATTTGGAGAAGCAGAGTTGGATGCAGTTTAGTGTGGCCAGGCGAATGCAGAGCGGTCTGTCACATAGGAGCAGAGTTCACGGTTTGTGTGGAGCAGTCCTCGGTTTACGAGTTTCCAGGTGCAGGGCGCCCAGAAGTGCCCGCTTGGTCTCAGCACCAGATGTTAGTTATTTAGCGGTGCTCTTACCCTGTGAGGAAATGTCATGAAACAGGACACAATCCACTAACAAGAATTTTATTAAGATGAGAGAGACAGACAAGTGCTCAGGCCTGCGGAAGAGATACGTGTGTAGAGATGAAGAAGAAGGAGGAAGCCGGGAATATGGTGCCGGCTTATAAAGGCTGGATGGTGCATGCATAAACAGGTCGATGTGGCTACTCCACACATGCGCAGATCACATGGTTGCCTTGTGTGCTCTTATGCAACCATGCAAAGCCACGGGGTCCTGGTCACATGAGACACCTTGACCCGGAAATGGCTATTTTGAACTGGAACTGCCTAGACAGAAGTGTCTAGGTCCGCCGGGCATGCATAGATATGCCCAACCGTGGGGGCATGTTGTGAATCCATCAACAGGAATCAGAAACAGTGTGCAGTGAACTACAAGGTTAAGACTGAATGGGGTCCATGTGGTCATAGTAAATGAACTGGGTAGGGTGGGAGGAACCTAAGAAGAAGCAATGCTGAATAAAAGAAAGTGGAGAAGGAAAAAGGGGAAGCATGTGAGGAAGAGGAGGGGAAAGAGACAATGATAGGAGTGCATAATTACAAATGTGTGAACCAAACTAGGTAAATGTACGGAAAGGAATAAAACCTAGAAGGTTTGAAAATGCTGTAAAGTATCAATGATACAGAAGCATAGTGGACAGGAAAGGAGGGAATACAATGGGCAAAACCAAATGTTTTAAATGTCCAAGTCTTAACTGTGCTTATTTCTAGGTCCACTACTGGAGTACGCCAACTGAGAATTGACTTTGGATTTTTTCACCTTTATTGACTTTTAGATTGGTGCTGAGCCCTGACCAGTCAAAGGTCAGTTATCTGACACAACTCTCTTTCTTTTAGGAACTCTTATTTTTTTTCTGTGTCCCACGAACCTCTACTATGTATTCATAACTTTTATACCTATAGGGGGCAGGTGCTCCCTCTCTTCAGGGACTCTATAGTTTGTAAATTATGAGGTTGCTGATGTCCATACAATTATCTCATATGTGTTTTAAGAGTTGAGAAGGAAAGGACCCTGATTTTTTTCTTGGGGATTTGATCTCAGGGCATTCTTGATTCCCACCCAGCAGAAGAGAGCCTGTGTGAGAGAGGAGGCTGCTGAAACTTGAAGGTCCTACCTTTCCTTAACCTGACACTTCCTTTTTGTTTGTTCTCTGATTTTGGATTAGTTTTAAATTATTGTTTGTGTGTTTGTATGATGTGTTTAAGTGCAGGTGAGTACATGTCAAAGAGGTCTATGGAGGTCTGAGGACAACTCTTTACAGTGAGTTCTTTGTTTGGGGTATTAAAGGGGTAATAAGTTATGAATATTCTGATTCTATGTTTCTTTTTGCTTTGTCAGATTCTTAATTTCCCCTTTTTTTTCCTTCCTCATAATTGCCAGATTTCTTTGGATGATTCTCACACCCTCTTTGACTTTACAGTTTCTCAGAAACTGTTTCAAAGACTGTAGTTTCAAGTTTTCATTATATGACATCACTCACTTATTTTTAAATAATTTTATTAATTCTTTGAGAATTCCATACAGTATATTTTGAACATATTCACCTCCTCAACTCCCCTTCACTACACTTTTCAGATCTCCCGTCACTTCCCAACCGACCTTGAGATTAGTTCTTTTTTTTTTGTTCTTTCCCCATTGAGTCCATTCATTTTTTTATTAAGAAAATTTTTTCATTCGTTTACACACCAATCAAAGATCCCCCTCTTCCCTCCTCCCACTCCACCAGCCTCCCCCTCCAAACCCACCTCCCACTGTCCCCCACAAGAAGACAAGGCCTCCCATGGGGAGGCACATCCAGTAGAGGCAAGTCCAAGCCCTTCCCCCTGCCTCAAGGCTGCACGAGGTGTCCTATCATAGGTAGTGGGCTCCAAAAAGTCCACTCATGCGCCAGGGATGGATTCTGATCCTTGAACACATTGGCATGGGGGATCACTTCCTAAATATAACACCAGTAGCACAGGCACTGAGAGCAACAATTAATAAATGGGACCTCCTGAAACTGAGAAGCTTCTTTGTCCTAAGGCAAAGGACACAGTAAATAAGACAAAAGGACAGCCTACAGAACGGGGAAAGATCTTCACCAACCCCACATCTGACACAGAGGGCTGATCTCCAAAATATATAAAGACCTCAAAATATATAAAGAAATCAAAATAACGAGTCCATTCATTTTTAAGATATATTAATTACACATCTTAATGGAATTCATTCTGTATTTCTATACCTTCCTCTAGTCTACACTAATCATGTCATATGGTTCTTTTTCCAACTCAGCACCTGATGTGGCACCTTTACTAGATGCTTAGAATTTCTATTCTGTTTTCAGGTAGACTGTTACCACATAAGGGAGAGAACTTAAGGATTTAATTGGACATCTTTGGGAGAGTTGCTTAATTACACTGGGTCTCCCTTTATCTTTAGGATACATGTTTGTATTGTAGGATTATTTTGGGACTGGTGTTTCTGGCCGTAGGCTCAGGTCAGTTTGAAGCCCCTAACCATCTTCTTTCGTGCATATCTCTTGCAGTTTTGGTGTGTCTTCATATGCCACAAAGGTGATCCAAGTATGACAAGTCATGGGCTGGAATGTCATTCTTTTTTCTTTAATCACAGTTAATTTGATGTCTTAGTATTCTATATTTCCAAGATAATGATGATGGCATCACTTTTGAATAGATTTACCCTTTCTTTTGTGATGGCTTCTATACTATTGAGATGAAATATCAGGAGTCAGGTAGCTAAGTGACCAAAATTGTCTTCTGCTAACCTAGTGCTCTAATCAATTTCTATTGGTATTTGATCACTTACAAATATTTGTGTATACACATATGTAAGGGAGTTGGTTTTATGTCTATTCATACACAAATAGACCTTAATACACTCACAAACCAATTTTTTTTGCCTACAAATAGAGGCAGGTATCTAGAAACGGCTGTTTTATTTATTCTACAAATAACTATCTATACGCTAACAATGGTTGCAAATAAGATTCTGTGGCCATCTGTCAAGTTTTCTAATGTTTCTCACCCTCCTGCAGGTTCATTAAGATGGACAACAGGGAACTGCCCACACTGTTGAATCTTTCTATACAGCATCTACTGAATAATGAGCCTGCAGCAATTCATGCTCTCGAGGTGATACCAAGGGAGCTTTTTGTTCCATTGTTCTCTGCTGCCTTCAAGGGTGGGCATAAGAATATAGTGAAAGCAATGGTGAAGGTTTGGCCTTTTATGTGTCTCCACATTGGATCATTAAGGACACGGGAGTCCCAGCGGGAACTCCTGAAAACCATGGTCGAGAGTCTTCAGTTCCTACCTGTCCAGAACTCAGCTTCTAGGTAAGACCCTGTATAACAGAGATGTGGTAAGACACAGGAGGTTATGCCACAGCCTGCTACTCTTCCAAAGGTAGTATGCAAAAAGTGAAACAGTGAAAAAGACTATGGGACTGATGGTCAGTGTTGAGGTCACTTTGAGAACAAGTGTCTTACAAGGTTGGGTATGGAATATAAGCGACTGAGAGCAATGTTGATGAATTCGCATTATGGTGTTACTATTACGTAGAAGGACATGAGTGTTAAGACTGCTGAGGATTGGTGGAGAATAAAAGAGAAAATAGTGTGTGCTGTTTACTGAGAATTTTGTTCTGTTGTCCACTGCTGCTTCCTCAGTGGATGGGCATGAGAAGACACTGACTGCAAAGCCTGTAAAGGCTTGGCCCTTTTTTTGTCTCCACGCTAGAAAATTAAGCATACAAGAAACATGGTGAACTGAAAGACATGCTTGATGGTCTTCAGGTGTTACTACCAAGAACTCAGCTTTTCAGTAAGAATGTGTATAATGGGTGTATGGCAAGATAGCAACACATTATCCTGTAGCCTGTTGCAAGAGAAGACTGGATAATTTTTCACAGTTAGTTAACGGTGAATGCTGAAAATCAATGTGAGGTGGTTGGTACGTCAGTTGAGGTTATCTTAAAAACTCTGATGTCTTACAGAGGGTTTTAATTTTGTAATAGATGTGAGTGAGGCTACTGTTGATAGAGATACGTAATGGAGATGTTTCATAGAAGACAGGAATAACAAGACTTGTGAGCATTAGTTGATCATAGAAAATAGTAAAGGATACAGTATTTGAATAAGAAAGTCTTGCTGGTAGCTGGTATATGGAATAACAAAAGGAAAAATAGATGATTTTGTCACTGCGTGTTATCAGTGATCCTGCTCGGTTATATTAATGTTTGCTACCTCTTAGTGTTCTATGTTCTCTTTTCCCTGCAGGAGCCCTAAACTGAGGATCCTAGATTTAAGGCAGGATGTTGGCTGCAAGATCATCTGTTCGGAGAGCAGTACTAAGTCACCTGCCTGTTTTCACTCCTGTGCTTACTCTGAGCATTCTATCTTGAAAATCGAAGGCCAGTGTAGTATGGCAAGTTCAGAACCTGAGGCTCAGTCCTCCAGGCAGGCTATGGAATTATTAGTGAACCTTTCCCTTGATAGAACCTTAAGGGAAACTGAATTTTTGGTTCTGCTTCTGAATAAAGTAGAGCAGAGCTCAGGCTCTTTGCACCTGTGCTGCCGAGATTTGCAAATAGACAAATTGTGTGATTGTAGAAACACCCTATGTCATCTGGATCTGAAATGTATTGATCACCTGGCTGTTGATCAGGCTTCTCTGAGTGAGGTCACCACCCTTCTGGCTCAGGTGGTGCACCTGGAAAGACTTTGTCTGTGTAAAATCACTTGTAGATCTTTGAATGGGGAAACCTTTCGAAATTTTATCGCTGAGCTTGGGCGTATGGACCATCTCAATGAGCTGAACTTGTCCTCTTTCCGCCTCACAGATCATCTTGAAAATGTCCTGAGGTAAGGGCATGGGATGGATACTGAATTTCTAATAATAGCCTGTTTTTAAGATGAGAGAAATAATTCTTCGATATTCTCAAGCTTCCCATAGCCCTTTCTCTTTCCACCTCAGCATGGGCTATGCTGGGAGTTTAAAAACAGATAGGGAAGGGTATCTTTCTGTAACTGAAGAGAAAATGGGGTTACAAAAACCTTAGTCAGCTGAGCATGTGCGGGCGTGTGCTCATTCCAGAAGTATAAAGGTGAAGAGAACAATGCAGTCCTCCTCTGGCCATCGAGAGATGAAGAGGAGGAATTGAGAGAAAGACTTCAGGTTGGGCACAGGTGCACATAGCCATCTACCCATAGACAGTAATGTCAGAGCATTAGGAAAATCTCCAAGGTTCAAGCTATGACTTTAGAGGCTGTCACTTGGGGACTGGCCAAAGGGAGCTTCCAATTGGTTGCTCCTCTGTCCTATCTCTTCTGAGCAGGTGAACTAGCTCCACCTTGGATTATATTGTAATTACTAAGTAGGTAATATTTTCCACCAAGTTTTTCACACAAATGTATAACAATATATTGTACACAGTGTCAAGGTTAAAATGGTACTTGTCAGGGTAGTAAAGTGTCTTTCATAGACCCACAAGTCTACTAAGTATGTGAAAGCTCACATCATTTGCTGCTCATGCAATCCATGTGCAAAGTAGTTGGTTTCAGATTCATAGATATAGTTCCCCTCTTCTAGACCTCATTTTTCAGAAATACTTTTCTGTTTCCTCCCTGCAGAGTCCTACCAGCTAGTTTGGAATTCTTACATCTACCATTCTGTGGACTTTCTTACAACGACTTCAAGTTTCTGTCTGAGTGCCCTCAAGCCAACCACTTAAAGCTCCTGAATATCAGCAACAACCCAATGAACTGGGAAGATAGTGAGCCCCTTTATAACCTCCTGCAGAATAACTCTAGCACCTTGCAGCAGCTGGCAATCAGTCATTGCCTTCTAACAGACTCTACAATCTCTGTTCTCATCTCTGCACTAAGTCGCTGTTCTCAACTCCGAATCCTCAACTTTTCCTCCAATCCAATTACCATGACTATGCTAATGAGAATTCTTGAGCGCTTAACATCCTTGGTGCAGCTTAAATATGTGTTTTGTCCTATCCCTGTGCATTGCTATGGGAGATGGCACTTTCAGGACAGTTTAGATCGACAGAAGCTTGCTGATGTGCAGGCACAATTGAAAAGAATGCTACAAGAGGCAAAAAGGAATGACATGCATTGGATGACTTTCTCTGATTAAATTTACAGTCCAACACAGTTTAACCTTGATATGTTCTCTTTAAGTATTAAATGTTTTTTCTTGATCCCATAGACTGAATATATAAGGTTATTATGTTGTAGCAAAATACAGTTAAAAATATAGGTATGTAACTGATTTCTATAGAGAATAACTTAGAAGAAGATGGAGGACTCAGAGTGTCTGTGAGTCTCTTGACTATTGTTCTTGATAGTACTTCATCCTTCCTACTAAAGTTTTAGGTAGAAGAGTTGGAAAGACTATATCATGAATTACCACAGCCTTGTCCTCACTGAGATTTACTTCTGGGCACTTGACTGCAGACATGACACTCTAGCCTTTCCTAGATATGTTTTTGGAGGGCAGGTAGTTATTGAAACTGATGCTTTTATCCCCTGAGTTGTATTAAGCTTCTATATTAAGATGTTTTCAGTTGCTTATGGGAAACCATCTGGATTTAACAGTGAGATAAAGAATCTGTGCCCATTACCCATTGAGTGGCTCAGTTTTTCTTTATTTCATACTCATTTACCAAGGATCGGCTTGCGATATTATTGTAGGCAGCAAGAATGAACAGACAAGACAAGGTCCCTGTCTCAAGCCACTCAGAGGCTGAATGTTTCTGTGGTTTATCTATTCCTCCACCGTTCATTAGTGCATAGAAGAAAGTTGTTTTCCACTCTTGGACCCCGATTTATCTTCCTTGTTCTTGTTACATGGTCTGTTCAATGCAAAGTGAACTCTATGATGTTGACTCTTCTCAACAGAATTCATGGATTCAATGTTACCATCTTGGAGACTTTCTCAAACATCTGCTTGATGTCTGCCTTCTGTCATTGTGCACAATGCCTGACATAATAGACAAGGAAGAGAACTTTGTTTCTCTGCTTTAGACGGTTCACCGTGATTGTTTGTTGCACTGGTTTGGAACTTCAGCAGGGCAGAACATGGTAAAGAGCTTGTGGCAGAGGGAGATCCTTCCAATTCATGAGGCCAGGAAGCAGAGAGAGCAGGAGCCTGAGTCTCTGTACAGCCTTCAGGAGTAGGACTACATTGATATGCCTCCTTGAGCTAGCCTGCTCTAAAGTTTCTACCACCTGCCCTGGAAACTGTTCTTGAACTTAAAACCTGTTCAAAATTTTCACCCACCTGCCATGGAGCCATCAACTTGAGACCACCTTCTATCATATTAGCTTGGGAGACATTTAGGATACATGGCATCCTTCATGGTATACATGATTCTGTTTGAATATTCGGCTGTTTCTTTTCTGTTAAAGTTGACACAATTTGCTATAATATTGTGTAGCAAATATGTATATGGAGTCCTTTATATTTGATACTCCAAAATGTCATTACCATATATAGAAAAGCATGTTTGTTCAAGATATAATACAAAAAAAGCATGTCAAACCAATTAATTTGCAGTGTATTTATGTTATGAATGTATTGAAATGGGAGTATACTGCATTGCAAGGACATAGCAATGGTGTATAAAATTTAGTTTGTTCCTATCACATGCTGAAATGTCAACACCACTGCATTTTAATTACTTAATAAGGAAATGAAACAAAAATATGCAGTTTTTTTTAAAAAAAAAACCTAACTGCATTTCTAGCAAGAAAAAGCAAAAACAATAATATGTCTATATTGTTTCAATTTTTAAATGATAACATACCGGATTTCAGATCAGCCAAGCAAAAATATAGTTAAAAGTTACAGAATTTTGTTCATAGTTCTCATGTATTGAGATGATATTGGACTATATCTTGGAGATATAAAACATGAAAATTTATCTACAAAACTAAAGTTTGCTTGTATGATTACACTTATATTTTGCTAAGTGTCACAACATGGGTGTGTTGGTTCACACAGAAAGAAAACTCAGAGGCACCTTAATAATGAACTGAGCCTTTCACAGCTGCAGGGGATCCAGTCTCTTTAAGAACTGAGAAATTTTCCCTTCACCTAGGGCATTTTTTCTCTATATTACAGTTTAGCCAATTGATTTCCATATGTTCAAAACAACCTGAAAGAAGCTCCCAAAAATATACTGGCAAGTGCAGATTCCTCAAATCATCAGGTACCACAGTTTTCTGGTTCTCCAACCAAGTTTTGCTTAGGCCTTTGTATCCTTGGGAGACTCTGAGACAAGATTCACATAGGGCAACAAAAGAAACAAAAGGTATCAGTTAAACAAAAGATGGATTAGGGCTCCGTGCCACTCTCTGGAGCCCAGACCAGGTGTAGCCCAGTGGGAGTGCAGCCTCAGATCCCCCATTTTATACAAAAATCAATTATCTTGAAGGTTATGCAGGCTCACAGTAAATATAGTCTTTTTTTCTATCTGTCTTACAATCTTATTAAGTAGACCAAAACACATTTTAAAGCAAATAAAGTTATTATTACTAGAACAAGAGCAACACCTGCTAGGATATGGAATCTATTAAAGTGATTCGTAGGATTGAATGAAGCTATGTTATCTGCAAGACTTTCCATAATGCCCATTCCTGTCCTATCAGGTAACTTTTTTGCAAAAGTTTCTTTAATTTCTTTCTGTAAGTTACAAACCATTTGAGAAGAATTAGGGTGACCCAACAAATGCATCTTAACCTTACCCCAATCGTACTTGCTTTCATGAAATCTCAAGGGTGTGATACAATAAGAAGAAACATTGTAATCACATTTTAATTTTATCTGCTCCTTCAAAATTTCTAACTGATCCCCTAACAATACAACAGCTTGCCTTAACTCAGCTAATTCATTTACTATCTTACTATCAATTTTATTCTGTTTAGTCCACAGTTTTTCTGGATGTTTATGCCAATCTCCAATGAATTCAGCGGTTTGGATTTCTTTATGAAGCACCACTCCAGCAGTTGCTCCTGTGGCTGTCAATGCAATGATCCCTGTAATAACTGTGACCACCAGTTCACCCATTCGATGTGCTCTTTTTAATATTCGTTCAGTGAGCTTCTGTAAAGGGATCCTCACAGGAGAGTCTTGCCATGGCCATGACAACTTCACTGGTATACAGATTGCTGGCCTTGCTCTGAGATTATATAAACTTTCAAAGGTCAAATTTAAAAACATACTAGAATTAGCACAGGTATGAAGGGCACAGCATTCACAAGTAATGCTGTATTTATTCAGGTGCAGGCCCTTTCTATATAGGCCCTTTCAGTAGCGAGTAAGGTAATGGTACACATGCCATAAAAGGATGGCTTTGATTTAGTCTAAAAGACAGAGTGTACTTATCATCTTTAATGTTTAATTTTCCTTCCCACGCCTTAAGAGGTGGAAGGCACGTGCCAATTTCTACAAGTTAGTCTGAGTTGAATCGCCAAATTGCAGGAGGGGACTTGCCATTCCAACTCCATGCCACCAAATAGGTTCATTAACTGAAGCACTGATTTCCACAGTTCCATTCAAATTATACAGTTTCAGTCTTAATTCTGAGTGAGAATATTTTCTCTGAGGGGAGCAGTAAGGGCTCCAATCAATGACGTCTCCTTGAGAGATATTAATTAGCACTCAAGGTTTCTCACTCTTACACTGTTGCCAATGTACCTAGTCAGATTCCTTGTTGGTAACCCTCATCTCACAGAAAGGTAGATTTATGGAACTAGTAGCATTAATCTATCCTTTAAAACCAGATGCATGAAGCATATAAAGCTTATTATAATCTTGGGTAGTATTGACTATGAATAACCATATTTTAGAGGTTATTTTTATATAACCTCTGAATTCCATTTCCCATGCAAATAGGAACTCCTTGTACTCCAACAGTATAATTGTCAATCATTTTACCCTCCTCCATTGGCTGAGCAGGACCTCGGTTGTCATAAGGACCAGGTAGCCAAGATAAACCATTACAGGAATATTCATATCTGCCCAACTTACTGCTAAGTTAATTGGAGGATTGGGGATAAAAGCCTAGTAACCATGATCCATCCCTTTTACCTGCACCGTTGCCATGGAAAGCATGGCAAGAAATAAGTTTGTAGCATTTAGAGGCTTGTGAGTAATGTGAAGTATTGTCTCTCCTTTATCACACAAACTCTTAAGCTGTCCCCAGGTGGAAGGATTAGTTGTTTGTTGCAAAGGTCTCCTGTGTCTCAACTTGGGCAGAGGCATCCCTGCATCTGCATCATCTTGGAGATGTCTCTTGCTCATGGCTGATTTTTATCAATTTCAGTGGAATCCACTATTTATTATCTCCTGTGGAAACATAAGCATAACCTTGACCTTAACACTTCCCCTGGGCTATTATATAATATTATATATATTATATATAAAAGTGAAAACATAATACGTGGGCTGACTCAATTCAGCAATTCTTTTTATAACTCAAATGTTTTTCCTGTTTCATTGGTGTTTAAAAAATTTAAAATTAGTAAGGCAGTGTGCAGTCTATCTCTGGGGGTCCTCATATCCCTCTTCTGTTTAGCAAACATCTCTTTTAGAATGTGATTGGATCTTTCAAAAATTGCTTGTCCTGTAGGTTTGTATGGTATCCTGGTAACATATTTTATATTTTAGCATGCAAAAAATTGTTTCATTTTACTGGAAGCATAAGCTGGGGTACTATCAGTCTTAATTTGTGCTGATAAGCCCATTACAGCCATTGTTTTTAATAAATGCACAATTATATAATTTTCAGAACTTAAGGCAAATGCCTTTTGGAACCCAGAATAAATGTCAATGGTACAATGAACATATTTTAATTTTCCAAAATCTAATAAATGAAATACATCCATTCGGTGCCCCCCACCCAAATTTCATTCCTTTGTGTACCTTTAGGATTAGTTATTGCAGGTAAAGGAACCTGATTATAAAAAGAACAAGCAGGACAGATTTTTATGATTTCTTTAGTCTGTTGTCAAGTAATAGAAACTTTTTTCTTTAACTCTCTATTATTAACATAGGCCCTCTGGATAAGTGAGACAGTTGATTAGCTTGAACTGTTTGGGAGGCACCCAGGCAGTGGGACCAGGACTTGTCCTTAGTGCATGAGCTGGCTGTTTGGAACCTGGGGCTTATGCAGGGACACTTTGCTCAGCCTGGGAGGAGGGGACTGGACCTGCCTGGACTGAATCTACCAGGTTGAGCTGAATCCCCAGGGGAGTCTTTGCCCTGGAGGAGATGGGAATGGGGGGCGGGCTAGGAGGAAGTGGGAGGGGAGAGGACGGGAATCCATGGCTGATATATAAAATTAAATTAAATTATATAAAAAAAACTGTGTTAAAAAATAGACCTGTTAGCCAGGTGGTGGTGGCACATGCCTTTCATCCAGCACTCAGGAGGCAGAGCCAGGCGGATCTCTGTGAGTTTGAGGTCAGCCTGGTCTACAAAGTGAGTTCCAGGACAGGCTCCAAGCTACACAGAGAAACCGTCTGGAAAAACCAAAAGAACAAAACAAAAGCCTGTTGACAGCATTTGTTAGAATACTATTCAGTTTGTGGATTAATATGAGACAGACTGACAGCTTACTGTCATGACATACTCCTCATCTGTGTTCAGTTCATAATGGAGTATTGTGGAGAATGACAGCCTGCTATGGGCACTGAGTATCCTTCATGTTATTACTATGTATGCTAAAAATGTAGGGTGCCAATGACTCTTCACCTTGACTATTTCCTTTGGGTCATATTTTCACTGAGCAACCCTGAAGGATGATAAAACATCATCCAGAAAAATATTTTTATTTTCTATAAAGGCAGCAGAAACTTCAGAATTACCACTACTTTCTTGTAATAAAACCCATTGGTTTATTTGATTTTTCATTCTTTCCTTTGTTTTTTTTTTTTTTCTTTTGGAGTGAAGCAGAGAATGTGACCACATTGAGAGGAGGAACAAGTAAAGGAGTGCGGCGTGTGCCAAGTTGACATAAAACTAGCCAGGACAGTGAGCCTTAGGTTTAAATGGACGGAAAATTGGAATTTCACTGTCCTGGTTAAGGTGTAAATCTGCCCATAATTATCTCAGCCTCTTTTCTCACAAGGTGGCCCTAAAATGTCCTCATTGCTTCCGGGGAGAGGGGAAGGGTTGTTGTCTTAGTTACTGTTTTATTGCCATGAAGAGACACTGTAACCAAGGCAACTTATAAAAGAAAGTGTTTAGTTAGGAGCTTGCTTACAGTTTACTCCATGACCATCGTGATGGACAGCATGGCAGCAGGCAGACAGGCATGCTGTGGGAGAAGTAGGTGAGAGCTTACATCTGATCCACAAGCAGGAGGGAGAGAGAGGGAGACTGGGCCTGGCATGGGATTTCAAAATCTCAAAGCCCACCCTCACTAGCACACCTCCTCTAGTAAGGCCACACCTCTTCCAACAAGGTCATACTAATCCTTCATAAACAGTTCCACCAACTGAGAAACAAACATTCAAACATATGAGCCTATGAGGGTCATTCTCATTCAAACCAGCACAGTCCTCAGATGTCCTCAGATGATGGTTACTTCTTCTCAGGTGTATCATGGATAATTTCTGTCATCAGGGTGGTTTGCCATGGGTGCTTATGTTCTGGAAATCCAAAGTTACTCAAGAGGAAAGGCTAAGGACAACCATTTACTTCTGTGTCTTCAGCAGCATAAAGGAGGCAGATATACCAAATGAAGGCAGAGGTATTGGGCTTTCATCCAGCTTTTAGTTCCCGCGTGGGACTAAGAAAGAAGTCAATGCTTGTTTGGCATAGGCAGCTTCTAAACGCCAATCACAGCTTCATCAGGGCACTGCTAGGCAAAGCAGTGCAGTGGTGTCTGCAGTGGCTCCCACCTGGAATCCCAGTGTGCAGGAGGCT